GAAATAGTTTGAATAACAAAGAAGATACCTGGTTTTTGAAGACTAGATAGTATCCAGTTATAAGACCATGAAGGCCTTTAAAAAAGGGCCTCTTTAATAAACTTTCTAAAGTAGTCTATGGTTATTGGTCAATTCAGGTGTTCTACCTCTTTGGGGGCAATTTTGATAATTTATATTTTGCTAGGATATTCTCCATTTCCTCTAGATGTCCAAATTTATTGCCACAGATCTTCACAAACATGCTTTTATAATTCTTTTACTCCTTTCCCAATTGGTAACTACATTTTTCTTTCTCATTCTAATGCTGCAGACCATGAGCTGCTCAGATTTCCTCTACTGTAATAATAGTGAGTGCTTACTGATCACTGACTACGTGCTAGGCATAGGGTGCTAACTGCTTTACTTGTACGAGCTCATTTAACCTCATGACCATTCAGTGAGATCGGTACTCTCAAGATCCTCACGTTACGGACAAATTCCTCACCTCTAGGTGTGAAGAGAAGTTAAGCAACTCGCCAGCAGCTCTATATGCTGCCTATTGACCTGTGTGTGAGCTTAGATATCGTCTACCATGTGAGTCTCTTATTCTACGGTTAAGAATCAAGGGGGAGGGGAAAGGAATAACAACAGTGTTCTTGCTCGAAGCTCTTAACTAGAGTGGATAATCTAAAAGTTGTGTGGCTGGGAGGTGACAAGATTCCACCAGCAGAGAGTGGCCCAAGGCTGTGGGTGGTGAACTCCCGTGCTTAGATGGATTCCATGCTGTGTGACTCCTTTCATGTCCTGGCTCAAGGTCACTTAATTGCCTTGAGTGTTCTCTTGCATGCAACTCTTGATCTCTGGCTTCTGAGTTCAAGCCCCACGTTGGGTGTAGAGATTATTTAAAAACAAAATCTTAAAAAAAAATAAGACCCCCCAGGACTGGCTCTCTCTTTGCTTCAAGAATAAAATCTGGACTTTTCAGTTTGGTCTTCAAGGATTGCCACCACCTGGCATCAATGGGCACTCTAAGCCCATCCTAAACCCGGCAGCGTCTGTCAATCTAAACTCCAGGCTCTGTATGTCCTTGTATGTCTGCCTCCGGATCTTTGCCCATGCTTTTTCCACCACTGTGAATCCCCTTTCTCCATCTCTGGATATCCAAATACGATGCATCCCTCAAGCTCTAGCATGTCATGATACTGTTGTCAATTCTCTCTTCCTATAATTAAATAATACTACACTTACATACAGCTTACAGTGTGTACCAGCATTTATATCTGTTAGTTCATTCAGCCTTCAGAACAATCCTTTTTTTTTTTTTTAAAGATTTTATTTTAGGGACGCCTGGGTGGCTCAGTCGGTTAAGCGTCTGCCTTCGGCTCAGGTCCTGATCCCAGGGTCCTGGGATCGAGTCCCGCATCGGGCTCCCTGCTCTGCGGGGAGCCTGCTTCTCTCTCTGCCTCTGTCTCTCTGTCTCTCATGAATAAATAAATAAAATCTTAAAAAAAAAAAAAAAAAACAAAAAAAAAAAAAAAAAAAAAAAAAAAAAAAAAGAAAAAAAAAAATAAAGATTTTATTTTATTTATTTGAGAGAGAGTGAAAGAGAGAGCACAAGAGGGGGTAGGGTCAGAGGGAGAAGCAGACTCCCCGCTGAGCAGGGAGCCCGATGCGGGACTCCATCCCGGGACTCCAGGATCACGATCCAAGCTGAAGGCAGTTGCCCAACCAACTGAGCCACTCAGGCACCCCTTCAGAACAATCCTATGAAGGATGTATTATTCTTGTCCCTATTTTATAATTGGGGAAACTGAGGCTCAGTAATTTGTTCAAGGCCACAGGGCTAGTAGCAGAGTTGGGATTCAAACCCAGGCAGTCTGGCCCCACACACTTAACCCCTATGCATGGTACCTGTGACTCTTCGCAGGCATGCGTTATAGTGACTTTCTCACTTGTCTTACCTTCCCTATAGGACAGCAAGCTCCTCCAGGAAGGGCTGTGGGTATGGTTCTGGTATACCTACTTAGTAATGGGGTGCCTGGCTGGCTCAGTCAACAGAGCATGTGACTCTGGATCTTGGGTTGTGGGTTCAAGCCCCATGTTGGGCATAGAGATTACTTAGAAAAGAAATGACTTAGTGGATGTGCCCTAAGTATTTGCTCAGCCAGAGAAGAACACAGTACTCAGTAGATGGGCTGAGGAGGGCAAGGGTGAAGAATTTGGAACCAAGGTCCCTGGGGTCAAGACACTCTAAAGTGTGGGTAGGGAGGCCAACTTTGATAAATGATACAGTAGAAAATCTCTGCTGAAGAGTAAGCAAATGTAAATCCAGTGAGTACAAACTGAGCGGGCAAGGGAGATGCCAGCAGAGGTGTGGAGGTCTGCACACTCTGAGGGACCTGGGGCCATACCTTAAGGCCTTGCTGCACAAAGTGGGGTCCCTGGACCAACAACAGGGGAGCCTGTTTTGAAATGCAGAATCCTAGACCCCACCCCAGACCATGGAAGCAGAATTGGCATTTTTTTTAATGATGATACAGAACTTTATTTTTTTTAGAGAGAGAGAGAGGGTGTGCACATGTGTGTGGCAGTGGGAGGCACAGAGGGAGAGGGAAAGAGAATCTTAAGCAGGCTCCACAGCCAGCATGGAGCCCGACGCAGGGCTCCATCTCACAATCCTGAGAACATGACCTGAGCTGAAATCAAGAGTTGAACGCTTAACCAGCTGAGCCACCCAGGCGCCCCAGAATCTGCATTTTAACAAGACCCTCATGGGAGTCATATGCACACTAAAGTTGGTACAAGGCTCCCATAAGGCCAGACATTCAGGCCCACCCCCAGAGGTTGTAACTTAATTGGTTTGGGGTGGGGCCAGGGCATCCATATTTTAAAAAACATTTTCAGGTAACTGCACCATGCATTCCATGCCTTCGCTACAGACGTGTGGGACAGAAAGATGGGGGACAGCCGGGGGATGGAGAATCCCAGCTCTGCCACTAATGAGCCGTATGACCTTGGGCACGGCACTCAATGTCATATGAAGAAAGCAGATTCGATCAGTGGTTCATGACACTCAGAATCAGAAAAACACACATTCTTGGGTCAAGTGAATTTTAATTCCCAGGGCTGGGCCTGAGGAGTTTAGCAACGACTTCAGAAGCCATGGCCACTCATATAGCTTCTAGACCAGGAGAGATCCATAGAACATCTAGAGTAGTGGCTCTCACGCTGGAAACATATCAGAATTACCTGGAGAGCTCTTGAAAAGTACCAGTACCAAGGCCCTACTCCCAGGCATGTTAGGCCTCGAACCTAAAGTTCTCCCAAGTGAGTAGACTATGCATACGATGGAAAACCACTGGTCTCAGAGTAGTTAAAAGATGTGAAGGTCACATAGCACCAAGAATGTGGGCTTCTGAGGTCCTTTCAATTCTTTGAGGTTTCCTATTTGTGAAATGGGGATAACAACACCCATTTTTTTTTATTTTATTTTATTTATTTGACAGAGACACAGTGAGAGAGGGAACACAAGCAGGGGGAGTGGGAGAGGGAGAAGAAGGCTTCCCGCTGAGCAGGGAGCCTGATGCGGGGCTCGATCCCAGGACCCTGGGACCATGACCTGAGCAGAAGGCAGCTGCTTAACGACTGAGCCACCCAGGCATCCTAGCAACACCCATTTTAGCAGCCTGTTGTGAGGATTAAGTGTGATAAAGTTACATATACCCTTGACCTTAGTCAAAAGTCACTTCACTGTGAATCCAGCTTCCTCAGTGGACTAATGGTAACAGCCCTAGAAAGGCAGGTCCGAGTTCACATAGCTGGGCAGCAGCAAAACAGACATGACGCTCTGCTCCAAATGCTAATTCTACCGCACTGTGTAGCCTCCTCTGGATATGGGAAAAGAGCCCAGAGAAAACCCAAACAACCCCAGATGGCCATACTGAACTCCGGCCAGAGCACTGGGCCAATAGATAGTCCCTCACACAAAATAAAGCATTCGTTTTCTTTACCCAAGAACCAGGTTGCTTGGCTTTCAACATGTTGCTGATGGTGTTTGATTCTGACCCATTTGAGTTTGACCTTCTTTTCTGATCACAGTGTCAGGAATGAAATAAATGCCTCCGTGGGGACAATGGAGTGGGAGAATGATTCTTCTCCCACTGTGTGGAAGGCAAACGGGAATGGGAGGTGGGGGCCGAGGGATCAGCTAGCTGGAAGGTGGTTTCAGCAACTTCAATGTGAGGGCTTGATGGACTGTGAGTACTATGGGTTGAATTGGGTTCCCCTAAAAGATGTGGAAGTCCTAACCCCCCGTACTTGGGAATGTGACCTTTCTTACTTGTTTATAGGGTCTTTGCAGATAATCGAATTAAGACGAGGTCATGAGGGTAGAGCATAATTTAATAGGACCGTGTCCTTAGCAAAGGGAAATTTGAACACAGAGACAGAGACACACAGGGAGAACAGCTTGTGAAGATGAAGGCAGAGATGGGCGTGATGCATCTATAAGCCAAGGAAGGTCTAAGATGGCCAGTGAAAACACCAGAAGCTTGGGAGAGGCATGGAGCAGATTCTTCCCCCAGCCCTCAGAAGGAAGAGACCCTGCGGACACCTTGGTCTCAGACGTCTGGCTTCGAGAACTGTAAGACAAGAAATTTCTGTCGCAATACTTTGTTACAGCAGCCCTAAGAAACTGATACAGTGAGGGCCAGATCCTTGCTCAAAGAATCCACTGTCATGCACCAAGGCAAGGAGACCCAATGACTTCGCTGTAGAACGAGAACTTCAGAGAAGTAAGAGTGTTCTGTCTCTCGTGTGACCTACCCCATGGTGGGGATGCCCTGCTTTACCTGGTGCAGGGACCTAGCCTTGAAATACGGATTGTGTTCTAAGTTCAAGAATACCAGCCTCTTTGTTGATGTTCTCAAATATGCCTGGATATGAACAAAATCCGGGGATAATTTTCTCAGTGTACAGTACAGCAGGTAGTTAACTCTTTCCTTTTTTTTTTGGAGAGAGAGAGAAAGCCTGGGGGGCGGGGCAGAAGGAGAAGGAGAGAGAGAATCCTAAGCAGGCTCCATGCTCAGCGAGGAGACTGATGAGGGGCTTTATCTCATGACCCTGAGATCATGACCTGAGCTGAAATCAAGAGTCAGATGCTTAACCGACTGAGCCACCCAGGCGCCCCAGGTAATAACTCTAGTATGGTTTGCTTAATACACGTCCGGTGCTCTTTTAAGTACCTTATGGATATGAATTCATTTGATTTTGATGAATTTTCACAATAATCCTCCCATGTAGGTACTCTGATCATATCCATTTTACAGACAGAGAAACTGAGACACAGAGAGGTAAAGGAACTTCTCCCCAAGGCTGAGCAACTAGAAATGTTAGAGCTGGAATGCGGACCATCTGGCTGGAGAGTCCAGGCTCTTCACCATAACAAAAAAAATGGTTACCACTTGCTTGAGGGCTTACCCCGGGGGGGGGGGGGGGCAAGTGTTATTCTAAATACTTACATTCTTAACCCATCTCACATTCACAACCATTTATCCAAGCTCTGTTTAATTCTTTCATATTCACACTTCCAGGAAAGCTATTTCAATTTTGAATTTAAAAAGGCCCCCCATTTTCCATAACACACACACACACACACACACACACACACACACACACACCCAGGTCCCTCTTAAAAAGCTGGTCACCGGCTGCTGATCCCACAGCTACCTCTAGTGGATATCTTCCAGTGGCCAGCTGCTTGCCCTTCCCCCTCTCAACACACTGTGCCCACCCCAACTTCCAGCCCTGGTCCTCCAGCTAAAATGATAGAGTGAATGCTTCTCTGGGAGAAAGCAAGACCTCTTAAGGCCAAGGTCATGCTTTCCAAACTAGGATTTGATCGATCTTTTTACTTTCCTGGTCGGAGGCTTGGGTGACTGGGCCTCCCAATCACTGTTGGTGGCTTGGGTACAAAATAACTCTTGCTTTGACCAAGGGAGTCAGAGAGGGGAAAGGAGGGAGCAGGAGAGCAACATGGAGGAGGAGAAGGCGAATGGGCAGAAAATAAAGGAGGGAGAAGACGAAAAAGCAAAGATAATGGCCTATCTGTGCCAGGAACGGGGGCTAGGTACTCAGCACACCCTTCCCACCGCCAGAAACCCCAAGAGGCTGGGTAGCCTGCTGCTCAGAGCCGGTCTCGAACCCAGTCCTCCAACCGCTGTCCTTGAGAGCTGGGGGGTGGGGGCAACAGCCTGGCTCAGCAGTTCTGACAGATGGGACACTTTTCAGTGTGGATTTTCTGTCAGGTGGGGAAGTGAAGCATTTGATGCATTTCAGTCGGGTGGGGAAGTGATTGCGTCTGTAAAGTCCACAAGGAGATTTCTCCACGGTTCCACGTAGCCCCTCAGGGTAACATTGAGAAGGCAGCTTTGATCATCGAGAGGTTTTTTCCCCCTACAGATGGATGAGAGTCACACAGATACCGAGTAGGAGCCCAGGCAGTGCCCACCTGTATGCCCTGGGGCCTCTGGCTCTCAGCCCCCTGCCCCGCCCAGCACAAAGGCTACGGAGGCCAGATGTGACACAACTTCGTCTCAGGATTAGCCAGTGAGACGCCCCAGTGCTTACAGGTTCCCTCCAAAATTGTCTGACAACTTAGGAGGAGGTAGATCTTTCCGCCTCAGTAACAACAGAATTGGTCTTTGCATCTGTAAAAATTACGCTCTAGATGACAGCAATCCTGAACATTGATCAAGTATCAATCACTGACATGAGTGGAAAATAGAGCTGGGGTCTTTATTCAAGCTTTGCTGTGAGCGAAGCAAAGTGAGGGCTGATTGTGGAGGATACCCTCTTACAGGTTTGAAACAGCACCAGAGAGTGCAAAGAGCATGAGCGGGGGGCGGGGGGCCGAGGCCTGACGCCACTCCTAACGGCACCCGCTCCCCAGGCCTCAGTTTCCCCATTTGTAAAACGAGAGAAACACTGTGGGCCCTCGGGTCACTGAGGGACTGAGTGAGAGGAGGCATGTTAAGTGTATATCCTGCACAGGCCCTACATGGAAGCAATGATTTTTTTTTTTAAGATTTTATTTATTTATTTGAGAGAGAGCAAGAGCGGGGGGGTGGGGGGAAGGGGCAGAGGGAGAAGCGGGCTCCCCGCTGAGTAGGGAGTCCGATGCGATGCGGGACTCGATCCCAGGACCCCGGGATCCTGACCTGAGCCAAAGGCAGACGCTTGACCGACTGAGCCACCCAGGTGCCCTGGAAGCAGTGATTTTTTAATGGCTCAGAATAATTGGGGAGAATAAACCTACTTTTTTTGCCAAACATTAGCTCAGAAGGTATTTAACACGCGTGGCATCCACACCACATTCTCTTTCAGTTCCCACTCCAGTTTCTGAGCTGTCTGGTGCCCACCAAAAGGGCCTCTCCTCACGTGAGTGGCACTGCCCTGCCCTCCCTCTGTCCTTGTCCCAATATCTCCGACTCAGACCTTACCCCCTGGCAAGAGCCTTCCACCCCAAATACAAAACCTGAATCTAACCCTGAGGAAACATCAGGCAAAGCAAACTGAGGGTCATTTTACAAGATAGTAGCTTGTAATCTTGACCAGGGTCAAGGCTGGGAGCGGCAGGCTGCAGGACCCTCCCCATTCAATGCAAGGAGACTAAAGGGCCAGGAAAGCTAAACCCAACATGTAATTCTGGATTTTTACTTTTTTCTTGGCTATACGGGGAAGTTGGCAACATTTGAATAAGGTCTCGGTTGGTGACATTAGTTTTCTGATCTCGATAATCATGCTACAGTTATGTAAGAGAGTATCTTTGTTTTTAGCAAATACACATTGAAATATTTAGGGGTAAGAGGACATGATACTTGCAACTTACTCTCTAATAGCTCAAAAAACCTATAAACCACAATATATAAAAATATATGAAAATGTATATCTACACACATATATATGGGGGAGGGGGATGAACTATTTTTGCAACTTTTCTGTGAGTCTGAAATGTCCTTCTTTCCCCCCAAGACAAGCACTCCACAGTCAACCACACTGTCTTCCTTTCACTCTGTGAATGTCCTTGGAATGTAGTTTCTCATGTGGCTGGTGTGTAGGGATTTCTTCTGTCCTCCTCAGGCCACTGGACTCACAGGCAAATAATGTTACCATGGGAAGGGTCCTCAGCGACCACCTAATTCGAACCCTTCCAGGTGACATGGCCAGGTGCAGAGGGGCCTTTGGCTTGTCGTCCCTCAGCTGACTGGGCCTGAGCCGGCCCTGGATTCCGGGTCCTGACACCCTCCCCCGCCCAATGCTCTTTCTTCGACTCCACACTGTGTGACCGCACAATGCATTCAGCCCCAAAGGAGTGACAGCTGTGGGACATGGAGCCCTCTGGCCTTGGGGGCAATGGATGGGGACCTGTCAAGAGTGGGCAGAGGCCCTGGTGTCAGTGTCCCCTTCCCTTCCTGCAGATGGACTGTGGTATGAAAAATGTTCAGCTCTAATCTAATCTGTTCCCAGGGCTTGAAGGGACACCTATATGCTAATGAGTCTCAAATTTGTTCCCCAACCCCGACCTCTGTCTGAAGTCCCAACTCCTGTATCCAACATCCAACTCTTGCCCGTTGAAGGGGCACCTCTAATGTAACATGCAAAGCCAAATGCTCCCCTTCTCCCCTCCCCTGCTCTTCCTCATCTCAGTCCAGCCCCTCCATTCACCTGGCTGCTCAGGCCAAGCCCTGAGGGTCAGCCCAGCCTCCTGTTCACTGGCCCCTTGCAACCTCACCATCAGCCACACAATCCTGTTGGCCCCACCTTCCAAAGAGACCCAGCACCACTGACACCAGCCTGATTCAGGCCACTGTGCTTTCTCCCTCAGGCTTCTACGAGCACCTTCTGATGGGATCCCACTCCCACCCTTCCCTTTCCAAGTGTGTCCCCCAACAGTGACCTGAGGGAGCTCAAAACCCACCCATGCACTTCCGCCTCACTCTGAATAAGCCCCAATCCTCACCAGGGTTTACCCCGTAGGCCTCCTGCATAGTCATGCCCCTTTCTCACTGTTCTTCACCCTAAAAGCTCCAGGCGCCCCAGCTCTGCTGCCCCAGGAGCATGACCGGCCTGGCATGCCCCAGGCTCAGGGTCTTCCCCTGGCCGCTCTCCTTGCCCGGAGTCCTTCTGCCAAGTATCCACGAGGCCCCATCTCCAAGTTCACGCAGGACCAGCCTCAACCCTCTTCAGACAGGCCTTCCCTGACTAGCTCATGGGAAACAGCACTCCCTGCCCTTCCCCACATTGACTTTCCTGATTTGTTTCCCATCTCTATCCCCCCATTAAGCTCCTAGAGGCCAAGGATCTATTTGGTTCCCTTTGTATTCTGGCTACTGAGTGGCACCTAATAGGAGCTCAGTACATGTTTGTTAAAGTAATGAATGAATGCATTGTTAAGTTAAAGAAGCAAGGAGCAGAACAGTGTATATAATACACACCCACTTATTAAAAAAGAAAAAGGAATGAACACATCTATGCTTGCCTAACTTTGGGAGGATTTCACAGCTATGGCCTCTGGGAGGGTGAATGGGTAGCTGGAGGCAAGGGAGGAGGGGGACTTGTCAGTGTAGACCCTCTTGGTACCTTCTGAATTTTTTTTAAAGATTTTATTTATTTGTCAGAGAGAGAGAGAGAGACAGAGAGCAGAGAGCACAAGCAAGGGGAGTGGCAGGCAGAGGGAGAGGCAGGCTTCCTGCTGAGCAGGGAGCCCAATGCAGGGCTCGATCCCAGGACCCTGGATCATGACCTGAGCTGAAAGCAGATGCTTAACCAACTGAGCCACCCAGGCGTCCCCCTTTTGAATTTTTTAGTAGGTACATGTATTGCTGATTTGATGAATTAAGAATACATATGCATATCAAATCATTATGTTGTACACCTAAAGTGAATACGATGTTATATGTCAATTACATCTCAATAAAAAAAGGCCACCTGTAATTGAATCCACATTTCCTCCCCTAGAATGTTATAAGGCACACTTTCACCAATGTGAAAACACATGTATTATGGATATAAAATCGTGATATACAGATTCTGTATGTGCAGTACATCACTTTTTTTTACTGTAAAACCGTTTGGTGAAGTTTATCATAGTCGAGGCTAAGAGACATGATATCTCGTGCCTACAGTCAGAGTTCTCAGAAACCTCCCACACATACACAGTCCCCTGGAGACCTAAATAAAAAATAACTGAAAGGAAGACTGAGACAGAAGAAACAAAGACAAATTAGCTTTAAGGATTACTTGTGGTTAAAAAAATAAAAATAAAAAGTATGCCCACCCCCAAGGCCCAGCCTGGGTAGGGGCCGTGACTTTTCCAGGTCTGAGGGCCTTGTGAACCTCTGCTGTACCTGGTAATGTCCTGGCCCTCCACAGTCCTCACAAGAAGTATGAAGAGACATTGCATCTGTGGAAAGGGGCAAGGGGCGGCAGTGGAATGCTGGACCTTAACACCTGGGAGAGTGGCCCAGCTCTCTCGCACTTGAGGGACTCTGGGCAAATCCCTTGCATGGCCTCGGTGGGTCTTGGGTCCCTCCACTGTAGCGAGGGGGTGCGGAGGTTGGAGCTGTCATCTTGGAGGACTCTTTCTAGTTCTAACACTCCATAGTCCTGTTTTGAGGAGATGTTGCCTATTGAACCACACAAATGGACAGGTGCTATGCCTTTGAGAGCCATGCAGACATGATACTGACGTCACAGGAACCCTCCTGCCTGACAGCGACCCAGCAGGGCATCCTCCTGGCTACCTGAGCCTAAGCATGACTGAATCAGAAAGCTAAGGCTCACCCTCATGCTTCCAGAGGCTTCCTTGTCGAGCCTGGGGCTCGGGACTTTTGTACCCTGTGCCTCTGCCAAGTTTTATTAGCCAAGTAAAGTGCTCTGGAGAGCTGCTACACATGATCTGAGCAAAACAACCGGGAGCCAGGCGTGGACAGGGCTCCCTCTGTGTCCTCGGGGCTGGGCCCACCCCAGAGAGCAAGGAGGAGGTCAGGTGGTTTCATGAGCCAGCGGCGCAGACTATTAAAGTAAACTTCCCTTTCCTGAAAGATGCTGGCAAGAAAAAACCATGAAAGGCCCTGAGTTGGGGAGGGGAGAGGGCAGCGGGAGAGAGAAATTGTGGACATCGATTCTCCAATTATCTGCAGGAGGAGAAGCAAGGAAATGGCAGGAATGCACGGAACTGGCTTCTCCCTCTGGAATGTCCCCATGTTACTGTTTTCATTACTACAGTTGTCTTGCTAGCTATTTCAGACTGAAGCTACTGTTAAGATTGGTTTGCATTCCCTCTGCACATATCAGTGAACTGGTGGAGAGATGTTTGGGAGTGTGTGGGGCTCCAGAAGGAATTCCCTGGGGGGTCAAAGAATTCTCGGTAGATAGTCCTCAAAATCGAGTTTAGGGTGTAGGTACAGCTTGGGGGAGTACGAAAGGACCAAGTGAAAATACTCTAAGTCAGACAGGAATGAGAAAGAAAGTCTATCTCTCAAAAGAAGCTGGATGATGCCTATGGTTTGATTTTCTTTTTTTTTTCTTCTTAAGTTTTATTTACTTATGTGATCTCTACACCTGATATGGGGCTCAAACTCATGACCCTGAGATGAAGAGGTGCACACTCCTCCGACTGAGCCAGCCAGGTTTGATTTTCTTTTTTTTTTTTTTATTCATGAGAGACAGAGAGAGAGAGAGAGAGAGAGGCAGAGGGAGAAGCAGGCTCCCAAGGAGCAGAGAGCCCGATGCGGGACTCGATCCCAGGACCCTGGGATCATGACCTGAGCCGAAGGTAGACGCTTAACCATCTGAGCCACCCAGGCGCCCCAGGTTTGATTTTCTTAACCAATGTATTTAAGCCTAATTCTGCCCTTACTGTGAAAGCTCAGGAGTTGTAGTCTTTGGAGGTGTCTTTGGGGCCTGGGAGTGGGGTGGGGAGGGAGGTGCAGAGTTGTCACACTCAGAAAAGGGCCATTAAAAGAGGCTGTATAAACTCTGTCCCTGGGTATTAAAGCAGACGCAAGACAGCATTTAGGCTGGTGGGTTTAAATTGAGGGGAGCTGCAGAATCCCTCTGGGATAGGGCCTGTTCTTTATTTCAAAAGCCCCGGAAACAATAGTAATTCAACCTGTTTCTCTATGTCGTCCCCAAACCTGCTGCTTCCCTGGTCCAGGCGCCGGGCTGCGAACCACGACTGTACCTGTTCTGGACACTTACGGCCTGTGAAGTTTCTCCCTGCACTCTGACTATAAAATCTTCAGGTACCTATAACAGCCGTGCCTCACAGGAATCTCCTCGGCCTTCAAATGGGAGAACTGGGCTTTACCCCCCTTTTATTTCTTTTCTATTTAAGGACATTCCAGAACTGTGTGTATAGGCTACAGGCACCTCAGGAAGAAGCTCAGGTTGCAAAGTCTGTCTTTTTTTTTTTTTTTTTAAGGATTTTATTTATTTATTTGAGAGAGAGAGAATGAGAGAGAGCACATGAGACGGGGGAGGGTCAGAGGGAGAAGCAGACTCCCTACCGAGCAGGGAGCCCGATGCAGGACTCGATCCAGGGACTCCAGGATCATGACCTGAGCCAAAGGCAGTAGCTTAACCAACTGAGCCACCCAGGCGCCCGCAAAGTCTGTCTTAACACCAAAGGAAGGTCATGTCCCATTTCCAGGCCAGGACCTGTCCTCTGTTCTGTCATTCACCAGTTTGCATTCAATCAATGTTTTGTGAGCAGTTAAATGTTAACCCAGGCACCTCTTTACAACTGCATTGTTTAAAATGTTACTCTTATCAATCACTTTCCAAATCTGTAAGCCCCACGCCTCCCCAACTGCCCTGCCCTGCCACCTGATGCTGTTCCTCAAAATAAGGCCTTAACTCTTTGTAAGTGGCTTTTCCTTTTTCTCAGTTTGCCATTCAAAGCCTTCCATGGTCTGGCTCCAGGATGATCTTCCAAACTGCCCCCTTTCATTCTCCTTGCAACCCATGCCTACTGCTTCAAGCTGGCTGGCTGCCTCACTCTTTCATATTCTCCTCCTGGAGTGTTAGAATAACTGCATGGGATTGTGTCATTAGGATTATGGATGCACCTTAACTATTCCCAATGGCTAAACATCTTTCTGCTCCTCCTCTCTGAATTCTGCCAGGAAGGGTACAAGGAATTATCTAGGCCAGCGGTTGTCAACTTTGGCCAGTCACTGGAATACGGGATTATGGGGAGTGGGACGGTGGGGGGTCGTGCATTTTTTTTTTTTAATTGAGGTATAACATGCATATAGGAAAGAGCAAAAATCACAGTGTGCCACCTTTTAACTTTGGATGTACAAAACAGCCTCGTAACCAACATCAAGAACCAGAATGTTACCAATGACCCAGAAAGGCTGGGGTAAAGGAGGCTTTTGAAAAATTCTCACTTTGGACCCAATCCTCTGAGACTCTTATTCCTAGATGTGAAGTAAAGCCTGGGATTTACATCTTTAAGATTTTCCCCAGAAAAGTCTGCTTTCCCATGCACCACCAGACTCGGAGAGCATGAATCTACCAGGGGTTTTCAAATTGCCCCTCATGTATCACCTTGGGGGATGGCGGTCGAGACAGGGAACCGTCAGACCCGCCTTCCCCTTCAGTCAGAGCCACCTGTATCTCTTTCTTAAACTGAGCCTCCAGTTTAAGAAAGGCCTTCTCTCTGTAGATGAAAACAACCCCTTACTCCACAATTCTGAAAACTACCTATATTGGTTGGTTCATTGAGGAAGCAGAACGACAAGGATGGATACGGATGGATCTGTATGTATGGACGGAGAACAGGTATTGGACCTTTCACAATAGGACTTGCTGGTTAAACAGCCCCTATAAGGCTGTTTTGTATTTGATGCTGGAGCGTGAAGTCCATAGGGCAGGCGGTTGGGAAGGAAAGGCCCTGGTAGACCAAGAACAATCTGGAACCCCATGAGCATGGTTTAAAACTCTTGCTGCCTTTGACCTTGATAGTAGGGATAGCCCCCAGAAGCCATGGAGCTAAGCACTCGCAGCTGGCCTAGAGAAGCTGAAGGGGGATGCAGGGAAAGCTGGAGCGATTGCAGGCCTGGCCACTGCTACCGGCAATGGGGTGAGCCAGCAGGTAGCCGACAATGCATGTACTGCTTCCCGTCTGTCCTCCAGCTCTCCCCAGAATCCCTCTGTGGCCCAACCCAATGACGAACCCACAGGCCAGGGAATTCTGGGAGACGTAGTTCAGCCTAGCCAGGCCGACCAGTGACAAAGCCAGCACCACCTGGCCGATCGCTGGTTCTCAAGCTTGGCTGCATGCTGGAATCATGTGTGGTTTTATTTATTTATTTATTTATTAAAGATTTTATTTATTTATTTGACAGAGAGAGACACAGTGAGAGAGGGAACACAAGCAGAGGGAGTGGGAGAGAGAGAAGCAGGCCTCCCGCCGAGCAGGGAGCCCGATGCGGGGCTCGATCCCAGGACCCTGGGACCATGACCTGAGCCGAAGGCAGACGCTTAATGAATGAGCCACCCAGGCACCCCTCATGTGTGGTTTTAAACACACAGAAGCCAGGACTAGCACCAGGATATGAGAAAGCTTCCCAGGTCACCCTAATGACCCTACAGTCCTGGCTACGAACCACTGCCTGGCAGCCTCAGACTAGCCCCAGCCTGGGAGGAGGAGCATAAAAAAAATCTGCTTATTTTTTCGAGGGTTTTCTCATTATCCTGCCTTCCTGCATTGGTCTGTCCTCTCTTCAAGAACCCAGACACAACCCTCCCGTGGTCCTCAGCACGCTGGCTGCACCGCGGACCAAGCCTGCTGGTTATCTGTCCCCCTGTTGCTCAGTGGATTGGGAGCACAGTGGGCAGACCCTGGGATCATCCCAATGCTGGCAAGCTCATGGTGAACTACTTGGAAGTTTTCACTACTAAGCTTCTAAATAAAGCACCTCTTCCTCCCAGGCATAGATGAATTAAATGATTATAACGCAGCCAAGTGGTCAGTGAGCACTTCACCAAGGTGTGGCGGGGCCGCCACTGTTGGGTCATTCTCAAGGACGGCTGAAAGACGAGGACATGAGCCACCAGAGGAAAAAAGCCAGAAAAGAGGTGGGGGCCAGAAAGAGCTCAGGTTCAAGTTCCAGCACGGAGGCGGCCTTCCTTGGGCAATGTTTCCAAGGTTCAGGATCAGCCCCACTGCCTGCAGGGGTCATACAGAGCATCGGAAAGAGGGATGCGAAAGAAAGAGCTTGAGGTGGCGGGAGGTCCAAAAAGCAGGGGCGTTTCTGCATGCTGGGGAGTAACTCTGTTATAGGGAACGGTTATCTCAATTACAGATTCGACCCTTTGCTTTCTTTTTCCTATCCACAATGTGGTCATTTCTAATGAGGTCTGAAGCGTGAGATTGACACCATTGATCAAAATAAGGTCTTTGGGATTTCCTTTTGGCTTCTATTATTTATACTCTCCCAGTCCTCCCCATTACAGCAGACAGTGGAGCCTACTGGGCCACCCCATTCCATACTCTGTACATAAGTTTAGAGAGAGAAACTTTCTGAGAAGCAACGGCAGGAATCTTTCATGCCATCTCTGTGAAGCTACCCTGGGGAAGGATCGGGCCATGCTCCAGGATGTTCAGTGGCCTATGTTTACTCTTTAAGGTCGCTTTCTGTGCCCCAAATGGATTTGAAGCTTCTTGAGGGCAAGGCTGATGCTTGATCCCCCTTTACTGGGATCTCGGTGCCTAGGACAGTGCAGCAGGAAGGATCCCGGACGCAGGGATCCCAAGTTCCAGGTTCTAGTTATAGCTCTGCTCCTCAAAAGTGACTTGAATTCTCCTCGGCCTCAGTTTCCTCCTCTATAAAGTGGGAAGTACCTACTTATGAGGTTATTGTGCAGTGCCCATGAGACAGCGTGTGGGGAAATACCTCTATGACCCCAGAAGTGTTGTCCAAGTGGGAGAAACTGTGTGAAGAGCTGGTACTTCTCTCAAGAACAAGGTGCTGGCTGATTCCCTTGTTGAGGACAGGGCGGCACAGAGTGGCGGACCTAGGCTGCTTCTGAGAGATGCCCAGGGGTGGAGGCAAGGGGGGGGTGTGCCCGAGAGCCTACGGAGTGAGAGCAGTCTCTTTCTCCCTGCCCCTCTCAGGAGATCCCTGTGCACGCTTCCTCGCTACAAGCTGGTTTTGGCCTGGTCCCCTGTTTATTCATTCATCTTCATCCAGTGTTTCCTGAATACCCACGGTATGCCAAACACCATGCCAGGGGTTGAGAACTCAATGGTGAGCAAAAACAGATGAGGTTCCTGCCTTTCCTTCCCAAACAGGTTTGGACTCAGGCTTATGCACTGAGAAAGTTGGACAACTAATTTCATGTAGCCCCAGGGACAGAGGGAAATGTGTTTTAGTGGGATCCTAGAGTTAGCTGGAAAATATCAACGTGTTGAGGGCACGTGTAATAAAAAGAAGAAAAGGAAGAAAAGGTAGACTCCCACCAACCCCCCGCTGGGTCTTCCCTTACTGCGTCCTGACCTCAGGCTTCAAGAGTCCTACTCTTTATGACTTTACCCCTTATCGAAGCCAGCTCTCACCTAACTTACTCATGCTAAGGTGGTCAATGCTCTCGTGGAACTACACTTAACAGGGGCGAAAGCCTCGAGGTGCAGGAATGATGCCCCTGCCAGACAGAGAGATGTCAGAGGTCATCCTAAAATCACACCACAGGGGTGGCTGCTTCAGACTGGCACTTCCAGGGACAGTGAGGTGGAGAAAGTGGGGCTCACAGCAGGGGTAAGTTCCCCTAAGCAAACCTTGTGGCCTTTAAAGATTTCCAAGGATCAGGAGCAGATGCTGTTGTCAGGGTCCCAGCTTTTGTTTAGGGAAGGTGGGTTTGCAGGTGCTTATGCCATTACCAAAAGCAACTGACTGGATAATTAGCTACATCAAAAAAAAAAGGGGGTGGTGGTGGGTGGGAAAAAAAGACCAAAAGATTTTCGGTAACCAGAAAAAGCTCCACCACCAGGCTCGCAGTTCTGACCAAGCTGCCAGATAACCCCACTGATGAATTTCCAGCTGGATTTGTAACTTTCCTCTCAGTAAGAAAACGAAGACATATTTTAAGATGAACGCCCCCAAGACAAATTCTGGAAAGACTGTAGGTAATATGAACCCCAAGTGGACTCATTAAAATAGAAGTTTCTATTGTAAAATAAAGCATAGACATTCAAAACCACACAAAGCAAATGGATTGCACTGGGAAAGATGAGAAGGCAAACGCCCCGGTAAGCACCAGCCAGGTGAGGGGAGAGGACTGTGCCGCCCTGTGTTTGTTTATGGTGTCATCACCCAACTGTGTGTCCTGAGACGCTGTAGGCCAGTCCCGCCCATATTTTATTATATTTTATTTTATTATTTTATTTTTTTGAAGATTTTATTTATTTATTTATGAGAGAGAGAGAGAGAGCACAAGCGGGGGGGGGGGGCAGCAGGCAGAGGGAGAGGGAGAAGCAGGCTCCCCGCGGGGCAGGGAGCCCGACGTGGGGCTCGATCCCAGGACCCTGGGATCATGACTTGAGCTGAAGGCAGACGCTTAACCGACTGAGCCACCCAGGCGTCCCAGTCCTATCCATATTTTTAGATGTCCTTTACATTTCTTTTAAGTGACCACCAGTTCTACCTCCATCTATGCCTTATCTGTTATCTGTTGAGGGCTCAGGACACCAAACCTGCGTTTTTCCACTGGATTTTGCCTTGGTGCATGCCAACACGTCCAAGTGCACTCATTCTTAATGCAAATAATCACCTGCCTGAGAAAAACCCTGTATGCAAGGCATGTTCTCAAGGAGGGCACACCCCACCATAATCACTTTCTCACAATAGAGGTAATGAGACAGGAGGAGAATGGGATCTGGGGGAGCTCTCTGTGTAACTAGTGATTTAAGACATTTTTTTAAAACAATTGGAAGTGACTGGTAAATGCTTCTCTTTAATGCCTTTCAATATAGTTTGGAATGGGGTTTGACATTGCGCTATGCCCCAGGGCACAGGGTTGTATACTGTTAAGTTTTATCAAAGATGATTGCATAATAGGAGCCTGGATGTAGCAAAAGCCAAAGGAATCTCCACCACTAACCAGACTCACCAAATGTAATAAATATAAATGACAGATGAAGGGAAGATGAGATCTCGCCATTTACTTACGGTTTGAAGCAAGAAAAGTTACACTTGAAAAGTTTTCCTTTCTCTTATCTCAGAAGATGGTCCCACAAACACAATTATTAGCATTTCACAAGGCTTGTCAAACATTGACTTAATCGAGAGTGCATCCACTTAATGGTAACCTCGAGACCCCCCTAATAAGTCCAGGACCCTAAATTACATGCTCCAGGGCTCTGACACCCCAAAATGGACAAAAGAAATGAACACTCTTGTACTAGGAGACAAGAGGTTTTATAACACTTAAAATTAAACACGTGTGAGGGACGCCTGGGTGGCTCAGTTGGTTAAGCGTCTGCCTTCAGCTCAGGTCATGATCCTGGGTCCTGGGATCGAACCCCGAGTCAGGCTCCCTGCTCAGTGGGGAGTCTGCTTCTCCCTCTCCTTCTGCCCCTCCCCCCTGCTCCTGCGCACGCGCACGCTCTCTGACAAATAAATAAGATCTTTAAAAAGAAAAAAAAATTAAACATGTGTAGGGTCTGTTTTGATTTGCACAGAAAGAAAAAACTCCAAAACTGATGGGTACGGCAAAAAATTCAAAACCCAAGGCACTCTTCAAACGCAATAGGTTCCTGATACCGCTTTCAGACCTTTATTACAGCAGTATTATATAAAGCCACGGAAGGGCCCTGAAAGACGTCAGGGGGAATAAAAGAAATCAGAGAGAGGCCCGAACTGATCACATTCTGGTTCTCTGTTCATACTTCTTTCCTTGGTTCTCCAGGGGGCTTTTATTTGTAAAGGAGATCAGGATTGTGTGTCCTCCTCCCTGTCAACAGCGGGGACAATGTGGGACGGAGAGGAGCAGGGAGGGAAACATAATCGGGAGAACTTAATGCACAGTGGACAGGCAGACCCAGGTCTTTCCTGGGTTCAGGAGTTTTTCAAAACGGCTTGCTTGGATTGGGTTCCTGCTCTTAGAGTGTAGACGGTAAGTGAGTTGCAATTTGCTAAGTTTTTACAACACTCTAGGGTATTTCCAGTGATGACAATGTGTATGTTTAAAACTCTAAAACCCAATTATTTTGAATTCACTTTCACGGAAAAGGCAAATCTGATTCAGAAGCTTTTTTCTGATTCTTAGTGCCTGTCCTAGGCTACCTTTCTGAAAGATCTGATACTCCCTGGAACTCCTTCCTGCCTGGGCTCTGTGACTCTGTCATGCTGGGGCTCCGAGTCTAACTGCTTATCTTCCCAAATGCTCCCACTGTTCCCCCGGGCCCATCTCTGGCTCACTAGGAATTCCACAGAGTCCTTTCTTGAACCCTTTTTTGTCCCTGTCCTCCACCCCAAACCCCATCATGGACTCCTATCTTCTCAAGATTGCCAACTTCAGCCTCTAAGAGCCACCCAGTGTATGACCTTCCAGAAGGGCAGGCTGAGCTGGGGCCCAGCGGGGACGTCCCAAGGCAGACCAGAACTTGGAAAGGGGGTTAAATCTACCATGGCTTCCATGCCTCTGTTAGCTCACTTTTCATGCTGGGCCGGGTTCAGGCTAAGCATGTTCTGTGCATTATGGCATTTAATCTTCACACCGCCTCCCCGAGAAAGCATGATCATACCGATTTTCTACACAGGAGATTTCAGCCAGCAGAAGGCAGGAACTAGGCAAGGCAGAGCTGAACTGTGAACCTAGCTCTGAACCATCACGTTCTTCCATCTGAAGCAGGAGACTGTGTCCTCGTGTTTCTGGACGTCAGAAAGACTCAAGAGCTTTGGGGTTTGCGCCTTTGGGGGACCAGAGGGAGGACAGATCAGTGGTTACAGGTTTCAGCCCTGCTGCCTCTGCCAGGCAGCCATGGGAGAGGGTCCAGCCCTGCCTGTAGCCAGGTCCCCCCGCCACTGACCACCCAGCTTCCCCATGAGGGTCCACCACTGAAGACAGGTACGAGGCCTCCCACACTTCCCAGGCTGGAATGTAACGGGACTTCTAGGGACCAGGGCCTGGGCATTCCTTTTTGGCGAACTGTGTGAATCATTTTACAGGAAACCACTTTACTGACTAAACATTTGAACCTATGACTATCAGAGAAAGTTCTAGATCTGGGAGATGTGGGGAAGAGGTAAAGACATGCATGGATCTGTCTTTAGATCAGCAACATGCTCTTTTGCCATCATGCTCAAGAGCAGGGGTCTTCGAACCCTCCCTGAGCCATTTTAAAGTCTTCTTGAATACCGCCTCTTTACTTCATAGACCCATGTTCTACACCACCAACTACTACATGGAAACAAAATAACTGGTGGTCTTTTCTTCTAGTTTGTTTTTAACTTTTTCCTATTGAGTATCTAGTTTTGTCAGCCAGGTTTGGAGCATGGGGAGTGAAGATGAATGTTGAAATTGGCCACTGGGGGTTCATTTACTTATCATGTTTTTTCTACTCAATGGGAGTTAGTCCTGAGATGATAAGCGTGGGGCTCAGGTGCAGCCTGGGCCACTCGTTCCCAGGGCTGGCACACAGAGTGGCTGGATCAGGGCCTGGCTCAGTGAGGCCTAAGCCGCCATGTTGGAGGAGTAACCACTCTAAAGGACCATGTACTTAGCTAGGGTTGTGTGTGTTAGAGTGACTTACCCTGCGTGGATGGTTGTGATAGAAAGTGGGATGTAAACAGAGACCCAGAAAAAGCTCATAGCAGTGAAATTGCCCTCAGATGGATCTCACACCATGGCTACCTGCCTAGACATCCAGCCCTGTTCCTCCTACTGGAACACAGGCAGTTAAAAATGAAACGACCCTGGAAACTGAAACCTACTTATCCATGGCAATTTAATAAATAACTAAGGTATACTAGGCCTTATTAAAATAAATGTGTAGTGTATTTTCTTATCTTCTGACGCTCACTTCTTCACTTGTCAGCACCTGCTGGTGGCCAGCTGGAGTAATCTCACCAATTTTGCTGTGTGTGCATATCAATTCGATTTCCCCCCAAAAAGATAAAAATCAGTAAAGCGATTAAGTTACAATTAAGGTTTGTCATTGAAAGCACAGACAAAGTGAAAAGGCTGAGGAGGACTTGTCCTGAGGTCACCAGTGACTTCCTTGCTTGCTCTACCGTAGGTGATGTTGTCATTCACCACGCCTCCTCTTACTTCTTGAAATTCCCTCCTCTTTCGGCTTCCATCACACTATTCCTGGCTCTCACACTGGCTCCCTAACTGTTAATCTGTCCGTCCGTCCATCCATCCATCCATCCATCCATGCATCCATCCGACAGTTAATGACAAGCACTGGAAAAAAATGACAAAGTATATTTATGTCTGGTTTTATAGTTAAAAAATGTTTATGTATATTATTTCATGAATATCTCACTACAACCATGTGAAATGGCTGTTGGTACCCCCACGTTACAGATGAGGAAACAGGTCCTGAGAGGACCCGTGATTTATTTACAACAGCACAACCAGCAGGTGGCAGAGTCTGAACATGCAGTCAGCTTTTCATCCCAGTAAGAATTCACAATGGCGCTCTCCTACATACTGGTCGGCCATAATTTCTCTACTAGTCTCCCTGTTCTGAATTAAATGTCATGATCCAGTCGATATATATTTATGAGACAGTGCTAGGCTCTGAGAGATCAAAGACTGGGTCCCTGCCCTCCTGCAGTTTGTGGTCTAGTGGGGGAGATAAGCATTAATCATATGTTCACACAATAAACATTTGTTTTTGAGGTATAAGAGAGTGCTTACTCAGTTATGGAAATCAGAGAAGTCTTCCAGGAGGAAGTAATCATTAAGATGCATTCTGAAGGATGAGTAAAGAGTTAGCTTCGGGAAGAGAAGAGGAAGAAAAACAACCATATACAGAGAAGGAAAAGCATGTGCAAGGGCCCTGTGGCGGGGAAGACCCAATATGCTGAAACACTGAAGGTCGGCTTGATTGGCATATTAGAAAGTGAAAGGGGGCCTGGAACAGGATGTGGTTCAGACCATGCAAGACTTTATAGCCATGACAATGATTTACTTTTAGCTTAAAAGCAATGGGAAGCCAAGAGAATGATATGATTAACTTTGATCTTCGATTCTGACTTTGGTGAGCAGAATGGGTTGTAGAGGAGCAAGAGTGGAAGCACGGAAAACAGCTGGAAGGCTTTTGCACTTGTCCAGGTGAGAAGTGATGACAGCCTGGACCAGTGTGGTAGTGGTGGAAATGAAGAGAGGAATCCCACAGAGGCCCCCTGCTCTGCTCAAGCCCATTTTCTCCCTAAACCCTGTCATCAGAGTGTGCTCACGAGTTTGCAGCACATGGAAGCTTGTCCACACTGCGGGGCTCCGCTGGAGTCTCTTCTTCCAGGAAGCCTTCTCCAGACAATGCCAGTCCTCCAAGATCTTTCAGAAGCTCTGTCTACCTTCTGCACTGTCCATTCTCACACCTGATTCTCCTCTATGGCTTGGCTGTTCTTCGGTCCATTCCTGGAGATGGCACCATTTGTCTTGTTGTCTTGCTTTCTCCCTTTGGAAAGTAAATGCTTTGTTGGCATTTGCTGAATGGTATCAACAGGGCTCCTCTGGAAATTACATTTGTAAGTGATTACTCACGCCAATTGCCTTATCTTTTTTTTTTTCTAAATTAAACAGTGGTTGCTTAAATCGGTCTTCATGATCTTGTTCTATCAAAATGTATGTCCCCAATTTTTCTATAATTTCCTCTAAACTCGTTTCCACATTTCTCCTAGTAGAAAGCAGTTTCAGAGGGAACCGAGTGAGAGGGCAGGGTGGGGGCAGGAGTGTAATTAAACAGGGGCTGTCTGACCAGAATTCCTATACCTTTTAATGGGGTATTTGATTAATCCTTTCCACAGGCACCATTATTCATGCCTTGATGGAATCTCATTTTATAGCCCTTAATACATGGACCCAATTTATCCACATCACATTGTATTCTAATACTTGTCATCCAAGTTATTAGCTATCTCCTTCTTAGTGTAAAATCATCAGCAAGTTTGATTAGCTTATTCCCTGGGGATGATAGGGGAGATAAGAACAGATATAGTACAATATGACCACCAATGGTTCTGCATTCTCAAAAGAAGACTGCTAAACGGCATCCATTTATGCAGCTGGGGTGGCCAAAATAAACATGTGTCCCCATGGGAGGGTCTCTGTGTGGGACCCAGGAGTCACAGCCATGAAGGGCTGACTGCCTCTGTGCCCAGCAGTACCAAGCCATCATCCCTAATGGGATCACTATAATAAAAAAGAGTGAGGCTCCCCCACTCCTGCTTCCCAACATCCCTCCCCCAAATATCCTTCCTTGAAGGCAGAGCCCAGAAGCTCCCCTTTATTCCAGGACACCATGTCTGCCTGGAATTGCTCCCCTTTGCCTCCTGGGCATCTGGAAGGCCAGAGGACCTAGGAGATCTTGGGGCTGTCGACTGCTCTTTCTCTAGGACAGAGATGGCTCTAAGCAGGCGCCCCTTGCTCCTCTTCTCTGCAACCAAACCTAAGCCTTGGGACTCCCAGGGGGCTTCAGTCCCTTATGAGCAACATAGCCCATGGCCTGAAGAGATAAGGGGTCCACATGACCCCTACAGAATCGTGGGCTTAAAGCCCCCAGAGTTTCCAATGCCCCTTCCTCTACACAACCACCCCTCCTCAGCCCCATCAGGCAGAACTCCCAGAGCCAGCCCTGGAGTCCTTTTTAAAGCTCCCGTCATCCTTCATCAAAGGCCCCATATCACTTACTCCCATGCTTTTCTGAGCCTGGCAAGGGGAGGATGAGAGGGCCTCACTCTGTGGTGGCGCCCCTCCTTCAGGAGGTGGCGTCTCACTCTCAGGCACTTGCTTCAGCCTTCTGGCTTTCTCTCTCTCTTAGCTTACTGGCACTGCGGGAAGTCAACTGCTCTGTTGTGAGCAGGAGAAACTGAGCTCTCCTGCCTACAGCCCAGTGAGTGGGCCATCTTGGAAGAGGGTCCTTGGGCCCCAGACGAGCCTTCAGATGACAGTGGCTCAGACGACTGCCTGACCACAACCTCATGAGAGAGCCTGGGCCAGAAGCACCAGCTACGCCACTCCAGGCCTGTGACCCATGGAAACCGTGCCAGACAGGAAATACTTGTGGTTTTAAGCTGCCAGATGTTGGGGTAATTTGTTACATGGCAATAGGTTACTTATACACTCTCCCTACTTCAGAGGAAAGTCTTGATCCCCTCTTTCCCTTCAATTCCCTGCCCAGGTTCCACTTTGATCTCTTCTCTCTGTTTAGGGAGTCTGGTGTCCCTCTGGTACCTTCTACTGACCCGTTGCTGGCCTCTACTGAGTGTCCTCATGGTCTCGAGGGCTCTTTCCCTAAGAAGAGGGGGATGCATGGTGCAGGGGAGCTCTCCGGGGCCTGGGTTTGGGAATTCTAGCTCTTTGCCTGCCATCCAAAGTGACATCTGGACTTAGAATGACTTTCTGAAGACAGCAGCCTTCCTCAGGCCATGAAACTCCCTCTGTGTTTTTGAATCCCGGGAGCCTAATGACTTCAGTCAACCAATAGGCAGCATGAAAAGCCTTTGCAAGGAACTCGTTCCCTTTTGTATCATATGCTCATCTCCTGTACCCTTTTTGCTCATCTGCAGTTTCCGCAAAAGGTCATGTCTTGTTTCAACTTTGCAGTTAAGCGCATCTGACACTAAGTAGGGGTTCCCAAACTGGATGGAGATACAATCTGGCTTAAGTGTTGCAAGCTCTACCACCGCACTCCACCCCTACTGGCTGTGTCTTGCCCGCACAGGCCACCTCAGGAAGAAGGTAGTGATCTGATTCTCACTTCTCTCATAAGTGTACAGGGAACAGAATGTAGTTCGCGATTGAAAAAAAAAAAAATCCAGGTCGCTTTTCTATCTGATCAAATCCTGGTACTTTTTACAGAGTATATGGTACATACAGGTCTATGGGGCAAGGTCAGACAACTACAAATGTCAATCTCTTGGAAGTCTTGAAACAGGTAAAAAACCAGTAGACCGCAGCAGCAGAAGGGACCCCAAAGCAGTGGTTCTCGAAGTATAGCTGCTGGGCCCATGGTGTCAGCATCCTCAGGAGGCCTGGTGAAAATGCACATTCCCAGGTCCCACCCCAGACCCACCAAAGCAGAAACTCTGAGGGTGGGGCCCAGCGATCTGTGGTTTAACAAGCCCCCTGAATAATTCTGATGCATGGCTAAAGGTTCAGTATCACTGACTTAGAGGATTAAACATCTGAATTATTCATTCTTTCACTCATAAGACATTGACCGAGTGCCTATTCGCCAGACACTCTGGGGCCGGGAAGAGGAGTTACAAGGAGCTCCTTCCACGAGCAGCGCGTGGTCCTCCCTTCTCTTGCTTTACGACAAAGCTTGAAAAGAAAGCAGGAATTTGAAAATACTCATCCAAGGAAATGGAAATCACTCTTCACATGTAACTCTTTCCAACAGGCAAGAGGCACACCAAAATTGTTATATTTATTTATTTCCGGGAATGATCACACACTCTCAAAATAGTAACTTTTCTAAAGTAAGTAAATGTGGGGCTTTAATATATCATGTACAGCTGGCTCAGCCTTTTAAGCTTAAAAAAAAAAAAGATGATGTGATGTCGCCATGAATGAAATACAGAATTACCTTAAAGATGCACTAAAATTTGCACCTGTCTTGTAGGAATAAACTATTCTCCTATTTCATCCTCTTGATGAAGTAAGAGTTTCCATCAGTCTCAATAAGTCACAACAGCTAAGATGTATTGTGTGCTTCCTACCGCGAGGCTCGGGGACATTTCTACATTTGATCTTCACCTGACCTTATAAAGTAGATGCTACACACACACAGTAGGTAGAGGAATGATGAAGGCCAGAAGAGAGAGGAAAGGGGCCCAGACCCAGCCCTTAACCTCTAGTCAATTATCCTCCACGGCTGTAAGCCCAGCCCCACTGGGTCATTTTGTCGCTCCTTAAAACTACTGGTTAATGAGGAAAACATAAAAGGAAATACCACCCTCCCCTCAAAGATTTCTAGTAGGAAACTGCTGGCTAAAGCTCAATTGGGGGATTTATTTCTAGATGATAAAGGTCATGCTAGATTTCTCCCTCAGTACTGTAGCTAATTAGGAGCTGGCTACAAAGTCCTTACGATGGCCTGTGGAGAATCTGGTCCACGCTCAGGAGATCCAGCTCCGAGGAAATGCTTTACATTTGCTCCTTTCTCAGGGCGCCTCCGGGATGCTCAGTGACTCACCATAATACTATCAGGGCAGATGATTTTCCTGTGGTTAGGGATGAACTTGAGTCGATCCGGCCAAACCCGGACTCTCAGGACTGGGGCTGTCTGGTTACTCTGGCAGGCCTGGGGGTGAAGGGTGTGACCTATGGCCACAGAAGATATCAGAGCAGTCTGGCAGGACCAGCAGCATGCTCAGACCTTGGCATGGGCACCAGGCCTGCCTTGGCTCGTGCAGTTCATTCGCTCCACAGGACTACCCTTCATTTACAGGGGTATCACGGGTCTCCCATGTCTTGGCAAGTGAGAGGCAGGGGGAGGCCTCTTCTGCCTATTGCGTCCTTGGGAACAACCTGGTGACTTCAGTTATATGCCACCAAGAAAATCTACGGTCCATGTAAGCTATGTAGATGACTGTGCGGGTATCTCTTAGGCCACATAGGGAGCTGGAACTTGAGGTGAGCTGAAACGCATCTGCCTTTCCCGTTGGCCTTCTGTCATGAATGCTTTTTAGAACACCAAGCCCCACCCATATCTCTTTCTAATTCAGGGGTGCTTGCTGGCTTCTGCTGAGACATTGATTTGATTAGTGGCATTCTGTGGGACTAGAGACAGGAGAGGTTGGGCTCACAAACGTATGATTCATTTCAGGAGTCTGAAATGAGAAACGCACCCATCAATGTCATGCTGGGGGCTGGGAGGTTCTGAGAAAGCATTTCATGCATAGAAATGGGACATGCGATGAAAAAATTTGCTTATGGTTACAATCCTGAAACCAGGGACTACCCCACCATGCTCTCCATTCTCGTGGAGTGATGGCTCCACGGGAAACCGCAGGGATTAGACGTTCCTGCGTTTGGACACCCATATGCCGCCTCATTTATCTACCTGTGACAGGGACAGTGCTGGAAGAGAATCAAAAGATGACAAATTGCTTCTGGTTTTAAAGGAGCTGTTCAGGCTGGGTGTACGCCCAGGGGGAACCAGGTTTCATGCCAATAGCTATCACTTCATCCCGGCATAAGGCCACATTTTGGCAAATACCAACCCGCAGATGACTGCTGTCTCCTTTCACCAGCGGATTTAAAGACACTTGTTCTGAAAGCCCAAAATCCAGGCATTCTGAAGACATGTGCAGCAGAGAGCAGACCTGCCCACACGCTGCAGGGAGGCAGGACAGCAGGCATTCGACAGGAGTTCCAGATGAGTGGGGTTTTTCCCATGTTGAGGCAGACAGATAACAGGGGAATGATTTCGTAGGATTCTAGACTAGAGAT